CATGTGTGTTCGTGTGTGTTTGCTTGCTTGCGTCCATACTGGTGTGTGCTTCTATGTGTGTATATATTTGTGTCTGCATATATATCTTTGTGTGTGTGTGTGTGTGTGTGTGTGTGTCCCTTCAGGAAATGTCCAAAGAACAACCGTGGCCGACGACACAAACACAACCTGGGACATTTTTCTGCAGACACTAACTCTCGGATGGTATAGCCTCCTTTTCCTCCTCCCTTCTTCCTTTTTTTTGTTGTTGTTCTTATTTATTTTGGGGACGAAGCTCCTGGATTGGGATCTGGGACAAATGTCGAAGAAGATGAGGAGCGTAGGCAGCCTTATTTCTTCTTCCTTTACTCACCCCACCTTGAACAACTGAGGAATGTTGGCGCATCCCGCGCTCTGATTTTCGAGCTTCGGAAACGTGGACGACCAAATGAACGACTCTTGATTACAACAAGTTCTTATAATGATGATCATATTAACATTGATGATGACTCGTTTCTGATTCTCGTGATGTCATAGTAGTCGTCGTGTGGTTCTTCGTTGGATTTCAGTTGGCATGACAACCGCCGTAATCGTCTTTTCTGTGTTGACCTTTCAGCAAGCGCACACGGCAGCTTTTAATTCCGGCCAGTGTAATTTATGATTAGTATACGCATTTATGTGCAGCTGGACTTTTATTTTGAAGTGTCGGCCTGCTTCCTTTTCCATGAAGGCCACGACAAAAAGTGTCTGCCTTCTTCAAAGTCAGGTTTTTTTCGTTTATTTTGAACGCTGCTACAGGAAGGAAGTGTTAGGCTTCCTTATTTATTTTGGAGGTTGCAACAGGAAGTGTCAACCTTTCTCTCTTATTTTGAAGGCCACTACAGAAAGTGTTAGTTTTTTTTCCTTTACCTTGAAGGCTGCTCTGGGAAGAAAGTATCAGCCTTCCTTTATTTCCAAGGCTGCTAAAGGAAGCGTCTGCTGCCTTGTTTTCTTCGAATGTTTCTACCAAGCGTTCTCAAACTTTTTGACCCCTCATAATTTTTTGTTATATTTTGTTGGGATAGAAAAAAAAATAGTCAAACGACGAAAAAGTTCTTTTTCCAGGACCAAGTCAAAGCTTAGCAAGAGAGAAAATCTTTTTTTAACGGTTGAATTAAAAAAAAAAAAAAAGTCCAAGCATTAAACTTTTTATTCTGGAAAAGACACCTTTACTCCCTAAAAAAATAGGAACACACACCAACCACCCCAGCCTCCTTTTCTGTTACCACCGGACAGCAAATTATATTGCAGATCTCCACATTACAGCTGGCCAGCCAACTGTAATGTTGGGTTTAGGGATCCCAGTTTGAGAAGCACTGGCATAGACGACTTTGTGAGATTTTTTTTTTTTCCGAGTACAGTAATCCCTCGTTTATCCCGCGGAGGTTACGTTCCAAGAAAAATCCGTGATAAGTGAAATCTGTGAAGTAGTCAGCTTTGAATGAAACCAAAGATTAAACCTTTTTTCAGGCCAGAGTATTTAGATGCAGAACATAACGCAATGTAAAAATAAATAAAAATGCAGCCCCTGCCCCCAAAAAAAGCCTGAACCAGCAAAGACGTGGAAGATAAACCGTGTTACAGCGAGGGATTACTGTAGTGTTTGTTTTTAAACACACCTTAAAAGTATTTACCTTTTTTTTTTCATTTGAGTTGTAGAAACGGTAAAATGTGTGATGTCAAGAAAGCAAAGTGAATGTGACTCCGAGGGCAAATGGCAAACTGAAGCAGGCTAATATTCTAGCATAGGTTGCTAAAGGTGGTGAATGACAAACATTTTGGAAGTATTTTTTTCCCCCCATTCCGAATAAAAAAAAGTATCTTTTTGAATCACACTGGACATGATCGAAGCGGGAACTTCCAGCTGGCTGAAATAACAATTCTTCTCCGCCTTTATTTGCGTTAGCATGTTTGAGCTAACAAGGCAAACTGGCCACAAGTGACGAAGGCTTCATGTGTCTGAGCTAACCGCTAGCTGACGACCAAAACAATTATTAACTCACTTTATTTTGGTTAGCTTGGTCATGTGTATTAATGAGGCTAACTGACCGCACAAAGACACAAAAACAGACACACAAACATATCCACCCGTGTGTGTGCACAGACACACAAAGACAAATGCAGAAACACGCGCAAACACACACAGACACTTTACCCTCAGGCCATTAGCGCCTTTAGCTTGGCAAGCTAACACATTTTTTAATCTCCCTTTTGCGGTTATTTAACAACACAAATGTTTTCATGTTTCTTTTTGTTTCATAGGGGTCAACGTGACAATCACAAAACATCTGTTAGCGTCATAACAAGGAGTTTTTAATTTATGGTTGAAAAAGAAACGATTGTAGTCGTGATGTTGTGTTGTGTTCATTAGCAAAGCAACTAGCAGTGTAGTGGCGGTAAAGGGGCGGGGTCACAAAGGACGTGATGAGTCGGAAAACTTGTCTTACGTTTGTCATTTCATTTTGATGATCAGCACCAGCACCCAACCCAGCGGCGGCCCCCTCCCTCCGTGAACGTTTGTTTGTCTTGTTGTGATTGTTCATCTTAAACGTGGCTTCAATGTGTTGATGTGTTGACTTGCATGTGAACTTTGAATAAAAACTGTTTTTTTCCCAACAAAAGATCGCACAAATGGTTTGGCATTTGTCTTTGTTTTTTTTTTTCTTGTTTGTTTGGGGGTTTTTTTGGGCCAAAATTTAATTTGTCTGCCTTAAATTCTCATGTATCCGTCACATTCACACTTAGAGCATCCTCAATGATTCACACGCACAGGTGTGTGTGCGTGTGTGTGTGCTATCGGTTGTCTGTGTGTGCAGGTGTCTGTCTACAAGTGTGTGTTTGTGCGTACATGCGAGTGCCTATGAGTGGCCATGCGTGTGTGTGTGGAATGAGAGGAAGGGTCATCACATACGTATTTAATTCTTTTGGGTGGGGGGAGGATTACCGCTGTAAATTTAGACCAAATTCTGTGTGTGTGTGTGTGTGTGTGTGTGTGTGTGTGTGTGTGTGTGTGAGTTCTCTGCCAGTTATTTCATGTTGCTAACTAACTGTGTTGTGCACCAAACAGAAAGTAGTGACTTGCAAGGTTTTTTCTTTGTTAAAAAAAAAAAAAAAAAAAAAAGAAAGAAGATAAATAGTGATCTTGGCTTGCAGATCGCATGGAAGTCATTCCTGATGGATGATCTGTCACATTCGCCACGAGTCAAAGCACCAAAGAGATTCTTTCGAACTATAAGTGTTCCCAAAATAAACTACCCGGTCAATCTTTGGTACTCTTTTGGGGGATTGGGGGGGCGTCTACAGTCTACAGAGTTGGGTGGCGGGGCGGTCTTCGGAAGGGCATTTGTTTAAAGTGAAAGTGTTGACGTAAATGTCGGTCAGCTGTGGGCTTTGCTTATGCCTCTGAATGAGCAAATAGCGGAAAAAAAGAAGATCAATCCCGGAAGGACTTGGGCTTAGAGGTTTCTCATTCTCAAAATTGTCTGAGTGTCTCCTTACAGGACTTTTATTTTTAGTTACCTATTTCACTGCTGGATGCTTCTGACAGGGTGGGATCATGTTCCCCTTTTTTAATGAGAGGTGGGGCTGGGGCGGAGTTTCCCCTTTTTCGTGTCACCAGTTGTCCTGGTGGGTCACTATGCTCGGATCTTTTTGACGCCGGAAAATTATTCCCCGTTTGACAGAACCTTCTACCCCAGAGCCAGTGAACTTTATGCCCAAAGCCAAAGCCTTCTTCCCGAAAGCCAGAACCTTCTAACCCACAGTTGGAATCTTCATTCCCAAAGCCAGGGTCTTTATCCCCAAAGCTGGAACCTTCTTCAACCCAAGCCTGTCGTATTCAACCTGAAATCTAAAACGGTCTTCCCTAAAAACAGAAACTACTGCCCCACAAGCAGAGTCTTCTTCCCCAAAGCCAAAGTCTTTACCCGAAAGCCAGAACCTCCTACCTCTTCTTCCTCCTCCTAATCCAGAACTGTCTCTTTTCAAGTCTTTTTTTTTCTCCTAAAGCAACAGCTTTTTTGATCCCCAAACCCAGATTTTTCATCCCCAAAGCCGAATGCCTCTGGAATCCCTTCAGGAAATGGATCAGCACAAGTACGGCGCTCAGGAGAAGCTGGAAATCGTGGGGTTGGAGGACGAGGAGGGTAAGCCCATCAGCGCCCTGAGCATCCTGTCTCTACTGGAGCGCGTGGCCGGAATCATCGACAACGTGCAGTCGGGTCAGCAGCGAATGGAAGAGCGTCAGCTGGACCTGGAGAACAACATCCACAGCATCCAGGGTGACGTCCTGAAATTGGCCAAGGAGCACGCCGAGACGAGCGGCTGCTTGGACAAATTGCTGCAGAAGACGCGAAAAGTCAGTGCCAACGTCAAGGATGTCCGAGCCCGTGTGGAGAAGCAGAACGGTCGCGTCAAGAAGGTCGAGAGCACCCAGGACGAGCTGCTCACCAGGAACAAGTTCCGAGTGGTCATCTACCAGGTCATACAAGCACGCTTCTTCTTATTCGACATACCACGGGCTGCGGTTCTCCACATCCATATCTCACTTGCTCTACTTCCTATCCTACAACTTGCTTCTTCTTAAATCACCATCTCCTAACCCTGGTCTTCTTTCTAATTTTCCACTTTCTTTCTTTCACCGTATCCATTTGCTCCTTTTCTACACCTCACTTCCCTCTTCACCAACACCTCAGTTGCTATCCTTCCTCCTTGTCTTTAAACCTCACTTCCTCTTGTTCCAGTAGACTTTCCAATAGAACTCAATAATACTTTACAGTCGGACTTTGTAAAACTACACTAAGAACCAGTAGAACTTACAACGGACACCTTGAATTTCCAGTATTATGCTGCACGAGAAACTTCAGTCTACCTAAAAAGAATTACACATGAAATTCCTGAAAAATGCAGTCACGAGATGGTACTCCCGCGACGTCTGTCCTTCAGACATTTTTCTTCACGTCTTAGTGATAGAATGAATGAATATAAAGACAACGTTGAGTTGACTGTCTGAAAGTGTATTGTTTAGTTCTTATTCTAAGAGTGATTTGTCGCGCCTTGTGGAGGTTTGCGCTCTACTGACACTGAGCTTATCTTTAAACGGAGCATTTCAAACTTTGATTACGCTTTGCTCAAATTGTTAGCAGCGAGCGTAACCGGAGCTTAGCCAACAGCTGCGTTACAATCTTTGACAGAGGGTCCTATTCTGAGACCCCGAGCATCCCATGCCTGGCCCCAAGCTCCTCACTAACAACCACCTGCTGTCGACCGCAGTCACCATTTGACAGCACAGCCAATCGGGCCAGGAAACTGCCCTGATAAAAGATAATCGTAACACTACGACAGACTAAACGCCGTGTGACGCCAAAGCATAAAGAGCTGCACGCATGCAGGCATGTTCAGGCTAGCCATTAGCGTTGAAGGCAACAGTCACGAGCAATGTTATGCTACGCATTAGCATTTCAAGCATACCATAAGCATTAAAGGTCCAGCCACCACCGGCATCGTTTGGGTATCTGCTGAACGAGAAGGGTCAATCCTTATTGCTGTTGTGGTTTCCTCTCAGGGTGAGACTGAGGTCCCGTCGGTGGCCGTCACCAAGAGCCCCAAGGGGGGTCTGGAGGCTCTGGAGCTAGAGCCCGATTCTTACGACGTCCCCGCTGATCTCTCCTCGGATGAGGAGTACCTGAGCATGGAGGAAGCGGATCCTTCCCGCGCGGCACGATTCAAGAAGTCCATGGTGAAAAGCACAGAGACCCTGAAGGCGGCCTTCTCGAAGGAAAACATGAGTAAGACCAAAGACAACATAGGCACCAAGTTCCACAACCTTGGCGAGAAGGTGATGCCACCCGAGCGCCGCGAGAAGATGCACCAGGCAGGCGAGCGCATCAAGCAAAGCGGCGAGCGCTTCAAGGAGAATATCGCAAAGAAGGCACCCACCAAGGAGAGCTTCAAGATCAAGATCAAGAAGGAAAGAGCCGTGGCCGAGGGCCAAGAGGGTGCAGATGCTGAAGTAGAAGCAGAGGCCGAGGTCTCCGCTACCTCCCAGCCCCAACCCGAGCCTGCCTCCACCAAAGTTGTAGCGGAGACCAAGAGAGAGGGGCTGGTAGAGCAGGCCAATGCCCCCGGGAGAGCCGAGCAAGAAGAAGATTACGGAAATTAGATACCCGTGACAGAAAGATTACGGGAAGGAGACCACCATTATGGGAAGATGACGGGAAGTAGAGCGCGTTTACGGGTAAATAACATGAAGCAGACCACCATGAAAGGCAACAGACCACCATTATGGGAAGATGAAAGGAACTGGACCCCAACTGCGGGACGTAGACCACCATCATGGGACAACTACAGGAAGCAGACCACCATTACCAGAAAAAAAACATCCATAAAACAGATAACATTTACAGAACGTGGACTCCCATTACAGGATGTAGACCAGCATTGCAGGAACATTAAAAGAAGTAGAGCCCCATTACAGGAACTAGACCACCATTACCAGAATTGAAGCCCAGTTACAGAGATGATATAAATCAGATGATATTCACATGAAGTGGACTCTATATACAGGTTCTAGACCACAGCACAGTAAAATTACATATACTTGACACCTTGTACACAAAAGTAGAGCAGAATTATGGAAAAATTAGCAGAAGTGGACATCCGTTATATGAAATAGATCACCGTTACGGGAACATTACCGGAAATAGACTCCCAATACAGGAAATAAACCACCATAATAGGATGAGGAATATAACAGGAAGTAAACCACATTTTCAGGAAGCAGACGACGGAAGAAGAGAGCAGCTTTGTGATTGATCCAGGACAGAGTGATTGTATTTTGTTTTTTTTATTAAGTGGCGACACCTGCTGGCCCCTTAACACAATTCATGTTTTACTACTTAGGCGCACATTTACACACGCTACCATGCCAAAGTGGAAATCTTTATTTGAATGATAGAGAACAATAAGAACAATGGCATTTGGTGGATTACGCGATTAACATATTTAAAATGCAACTACACATTATTAAAACGTCACTTTTGGTGATCTGTGCACATTCTAACCTATTTAAATGCAACGTTAGGTGGTCTTTGAACGTTATAACATAAAATGTCAGTTCTGGTTATCATTACATGGAGGGATATTGACAAAAGGGGCTTGACATCATGATTGACAGTTGGTTTTGTGCATGTAATTGATGACACCTGTAGTGGTGACGTCGAACGAGTGTGTGTGTGTGTGTGTGTGTGTGTGTGTGTGTGTGTGTGTGTGTGTGTGTGTGTGTGTGTGTGTGCGTGCGCGCGCACGTGTGAGTGTGTGTAATAAGTTTGAATTGGTACAACGTGGTAACTAGTGAATTCTAAAGTCTGTGGTAGGTTTCCCTCTAGTGGCCTTCCATGGCGATGCACCCAACCACATGTTTGCTGAGTCTTTTGCGGCGGGGAGGGGGGGAGGCTAAAGTGATGGAATTTGAACATCTTTTTTCCTCCTCGTTTTCATGAACCTGAAATAATCTGCGGCATGGGGATACGATTTTAAAATATGAGATCAGATTAGATCAGATTAAATAAAAGTGGATTCGAATTTATTCATCCGAGATGGACATCACATAAACAATTGGCAAGCCTGATGCATTAAGTGTTTCATAATGAATAAAGCCCTTAGTAAAATTACAGCAGGTTTTGGGAGTCTTTTAATATGGGTGACCACGAATAAAATAGAAGTTGTAGCGATCATTGACGAAAAAAGAGATTGGCTCACATCTCTGTCACACGTCCTGTGAAAGGCAGGAAAAACTTGTCGGGGATGTTGCTGTCAGTGAGGTGAATCAACGACCCCAAGGATGGAGACAACCAAGCACAAAGCAGACACCATCATCACGTGATAATCGACACCTCAAACACAGACACCAAAACACCTCCAGCTGCAATCCACCCATTTTTTGCCCAGCAAGCATAATGTCAATTGACTCTCCACCAACCAGAAGATGTCAACACCCTGTCACATGGAGAGGAATTCATCCCCGATTGTGATTTACGACATCCTTTGTTGTTGGCTCTGTTCCAACTCTTGAAAGCAAGAATGTAGCATACCTGCTTTTATTGTTCCTTATCACACCCACCTTTGTAAGGACTTTCCAGGGAACGTGTTTAACATCAAAAAGGAACCGTTATCTCGAATATCAACAGTATGTTGGGGGCACCACATGAAAAGTCATATTGAAGGCAACGGGTCTTGTTTTGGTCTTTATTTTACATTTTAGGGGGAAAAAAGAAAGAAAGCGGATGCGAAGGATCGGGCAATGGCCGAATCCCCTGTGCACACATAACTCACAACGTGTAAGAGAGCTTGTAGTCAGATAGTTCAGAGTCATTCTGCAGTGTGTGTGTGTGTGTGTGTGTGTGTGTGCGCGCGCGCGCACGTGTGAGTGTGTGTAATAAGTTTGAATTGGTACAACGTGGTAACTAGTGAATTCTAAAGTCTGTGGTAGGTTTCCCTCTAGTGGCCTTCCATGGCGATGCACCCAACCACATGTTTGCTGAGTCTTTTGCGGCGGGGAGGGGGGGAGGCTAAAGTGATGGAATTTGAACATCTTTTTTCCTCCTCGTTTTCATGAACCTGAAATAATCTGCGGCATGGGGATACGATTTTAAAATATGAGATCAGATTAGATCAGATTAAATAAAAGTGGATTCGAATTTATTCATCCGAGATGGACATCACATAAACAATTGGCAAGCCTGATGCATTAAGTGTTTCATAATGAATAAAGCCCTTAGTAAAATTACAGCAGGTTTTGGGAGTCTTTTAATATGGGTGACCACGAATAAAATAGAAGTTGTAGCGATCATTGACGAAAAAAGAGATTGGCTCACATCTCTGTCACACGTCCTGTGAAAGGCAGGAAAAACTTGTCGGGGATGTTGCTGTCAGTGAGGTGAATCAACGACCCCAAGGATGGAGACAACCAAGCACAAAGCAGACACCATCATCACGTGATAATCGACACCTCAAACACAGACACCAAAACACCTCCAGCTGCAATCCACCCATTTTTTGCCCAGCAAGCATAATGTCAATTGACTCTCCACCAACCAGAAGATGTCAACACCCTGTCACATGGAGAGGAATTCATCCCCGATTGTGATTTACGACATCCTTTGTTGTTGGCTCTGTTCCAACTCTTGAAAGCAAGAATGTAGCATACCTGCTTTTATTGTTCCTTATCACACCCACCTTTGTAAGGACTTTCCAGGGAACGTGTTTAACATCAAAAAGGAACCGTTATCTCGAATATCAACAGTATGTTGGGGGCACCACATGAAAAGTCATATTGAAGGCAACGGGTCTTGTTTTGGTCTTTATTTTACATTTTAGGGGGAAAAAAGAAAGAAAGCGGATGCGAAGGATCGGGCAATGGCCGAATCCCCTGTGCACACATAACTCACAACGTGTAAGAGAGCTTGTAGTCAGATAGTTCAGAGTCATTCTGCAAACTCTCCACTAAAGCAAAAATAGACATAGATGATGATCCAGAATTCTGCTGTAGGTATTAGAATCCTCTGTCAGGGAAATAAACTTGGTGAAATTACTTTTTCGTTGATTGAGTAGTCCTTGCAGAAAAACGAACATGCAAAGGAACCAGTAAATGTAAATGCAGCTTGATTCAGATTCCTTTACATACCCAAGTTGACTAGTCCATTTTTAAAATCAGCGTTATCAAAGGTAGTTTCAATCTTTGGCGCTTTTTTTTTCAACGTTTCTCACACTAAGAAAAAAAAGTCAATGACATGATTTACTCATTTGGTCTTCTTTGGCATTTCCTATATTTGTTCCTGGAATCAAACATGGTTTAATATGGATGGAGTACAACCATTAATTTTATTACAAACAAGTTTTAAAGCACAACATTTACTTATAGCAAGTCCCACAAAGTAAATACAAATGCATATTTTTTCTTTACAGATGTGAAAATGAGCCTTTTGTCTTGGGGGAAAAAAATTGCTTTTTCCAAACACATTTGTTCACACAAGACTCGATAGATTTTAAAAGTTCGCCATTTTGTCAAATGAACCATCAAATTGCACTGCTCGAAGCGCTCAAGAGTGAGAGTACTGTATGAGCAATTGCAATTCCTCTACTCGTTAAATTACTGTTGTGCAAAAAAAAAAAAACATTAAATTGTAATGGCCAAATATCTTGCAAAAAGACTGCTCAACAAGAGAATAACCCAGACATGCCGACTTTAAAAATCTACATTTTGCATCGTTTCACAATGACGTCATTTCCCCTCGAATTTTAAAAAGCTTTTCTTGTCTTACCTTCACTTATAGATGAAGACTGTTTACATTTACTTCTTGCTCTGCATCTTAATCAAATCTGTGAACGGTAAATAAAATCTTCCTTTATCAGGGCTTTTCAAATATAATTGTTTGGAGTCCTTGTACGGTTTCGGATTCATTTTCGCTCCCGACCATACGGTGGGACAAAATCGAACAACTTCGCTAGCTAGCGAGTTGCCTGCGTGAGTGCGAAGAAGAACGGCAGCAATGCGGAACTGCGTGCTCTCGTCCGCCCCCCTTCGGTGTGGCTAGGAAGTGTACGTCGGCAGCATCCACTCGCGTTTCACATTCGCTTTACATGCACAAAGGGAAAGCGCAGGTCAGATCAGAAATCATATTTTAAGATGATTTAAATGTTATATTGCGTAAGTATGTGCTTTGTTGTGTATGACTTATTGTATCGTCTAACATTGGTGAAATAATGTCTTTGCTGCCTTCTTAGCCAGTACATCTGGTACCTACACTGGGTCACTCTTGGAAAATAGTTTTAATCTCGTAGTTTTTGTTTTTCATGTTAAACCTGGTTGAATGAAAAGGAAATAGTCATACATCTTAAACAGGAGCCGGGATGTGAAAAAACAGAACAGGCACTTGTCCAGATCCTCCTCTTACAGTAGTTAAATTCGACCAACAGAAAGTGATGTTGTGCTTTGCTATTTTTCCCCGTTAAGGAATTATTCCTCTCCTTTTGTTGGATCTGAAAGAAACGAAGACTGTAGAACATTGTTGAGTAATTTCGGCTTGCTATGAGAACTACTGATACGAGAACTATTGATACGAGTCTCTGTCCTGAACATCTGCTTAAGTGCTTAAAACAAAGAATGTAGTGTGAAGTTTAGATCCTATTTCCCCTTGAGTGATTAACAGCCCCCCAAGTGTCTTCTTCTGGTCTCCCATCTCTGCTGTGCCCCTCAGGGCTGTCAAGTTCCCTGAGAAAGGAACTCCAATCTCATAATTTGTGCACAGCGAATGTGGTCTGTACTTTTTCAAAATGCCAAGATCGAACTGCATTGAACTTTCAGATTTTTACATAAGGGGAAGGACTGCCCGCCCCTCATTACCATAGTACGCCTATATAAACGTGTGACTGTATTTGTTCAGGGCTTCCTGATGAAATCTGACTCTCACAGGAGCCCGAATCGATTCATGTTGCGTTGTGATAAACTTCAGAAAAGACGACGTGGTGTTGGGTCTTCTTCCACCTTATAGAGAGATAAAAGAACCTGCGTCCAAGGAGGGCCAACATTGACAGCTTCCCCTGCTCTACACCTCCAAGTGAGAAATTGCGCAGTTGATGGAGCCACTGCTGACCATCCCCGACTCACTCATGTGTAGTACAGTATATGAACAGTAAGACAAATTCAGGAAATTGAACACATCGACACATGTGGGAGTCAAAAAGAAAAACCACTAGACAGACTAGAGCCTAAAATAGAAAATTGGTTATGAAAATTCTTTTATTTTTTTAACTCTTTTGAATGTTGCAAAATGATTTTCTGTGATGTTCTTTTCTGTAGTGAACTTGTTCTCAACCAAAGAAGCAAAGTTGTGGCTCCAACAGGAAGCACCCTCCCACGCAGGCTCAGGCCCGTAAAACAACTACCCCCCCCCACACACACACACACACACACACACACAAGGCTTCAAGGTCAGTTAAGGCTTCAAGGTCAGTTAACGGCAGTCAGCATGTGCACAGGCACAAGCCTGTTTTCAACACTTGGAAAAAAAAAAAGTCTTCCACAAATGGAGTATATTGCGTGGAATCCATCTCACAATGCAGTGGTCGTGGGTTCAAACCCACGCTCCGGCCTTCTTGCGTGCACTTTGCATGTTCTTCGCGTGCCTGCGTGGGTTGTCTCCTGGCAGGCTTCTCCAGTTTGTCTGTTTGTGATCGGCTGGCGACCAGTTCAGGGTGCACCCATGAGCATCTCTTTGACTCTGACATGTTGGGTAGCTCATGACAGTGGACGCATCGTCACAGACCAATGGGAGGAGAAACACAAGCTCCAGTGCAGTTCACAAATAAAAATTCCAAAATTGATGTAAAACAAAAAAAAACAAACAAAACTGTACATCTGTACATATATACATGGCATTCATTCACAATGTGGGGGGGGAACAACCTTCTAACATCCGCAAATATTCTTTACAATGTAGTTGTCACAGTAAACATCAACAGGACGACGATCAGCACTTCTTGTATTTTGTTGTCTTTACGGGTGGAATCCCAACTGCTGCCTGGATTGCATCAATTTGAGCCTGCGGATAATTTCAAACAAATCGTCGGTGCCAAATAAATAGCGAGTATGACGGCAGGTGAAAAATGTAAAATGTTAAAAAAGCAAATTGTTACCCGTCTCCCAGGTGGCTGCTGTTGTTCCGGCGAATGTTCCCATGGCAACCAAGCGAAGTTGGTGGTCCCAGGGTGTTCTTTCGCTCACCCGATATAAATATATATATAGCCTGATAATGAAGACAACACTTGCTCTATGTATCTATATGAGCCATATTAGCTGAGAAGGAAATCATATCTAACCATATTCTCAAGTGTAATGTTCCAATCATATATTCTATACATGTCTACACAACTGCAAATACACAGTCCGTTATTTCACTCATCTTACTATAGGTAAGAGAATAGGATCCTGACTACAATCCCAGGAACACAAGTAGGGCTGCCACCCTTGACAAGGTCAGGGCAACCATGCTTAAAACACACATCAAAGCAGGGAGGGAGGGTCACGAATACGGTCAGAGTCAACAAGTATGTTTGAACAGAACAAGGGTTTAAGTTCCCATGCATGTTCATGCAGGCCTGAGGATTTCAGAAATGAACAGAAACTGTTTCTCCATTCCCTTGGATTACCCAATAGGAAACCACGGAAACTAATTTGGGGTTTGTTGAGGAATTCTATCCTTAATATGAGTACTATTGGTACCAGTCTCTTTCCTGAACCTCTGTTTCAACACTTAAAACAAAGGATGTGGTGTCAAGTTTCTAACCTATTCCCGCTTGAGTGGTTAGCAGCCCCCAAGTGTCTTCTTTTGCGTCCCACTCCTCAGGAAAGTCCCTGAAGGCTGTCAAGTTTCCCTGAGAAAGGAACTCTTTCTCTCGGGATTTCTGCACAGCAGGGGACATCTGGACTTTGTCGTTATGCCAAGATCGAACTGCATTGACCTTTCTTTGCTTCTGATTTTTACATAAGGGGAAGGACTGCCCGCCCCCTATATAAACGTGAGACTGTATTTTTCCTTTGCTTCCTGACAAAATCAACTCTCAGAAGCCCGAATCGATTCGTATTGTGTTGTGATCAACTGCAGAAAAGATGACGTGGTGTTGGGTCTTTCTTCCTTCCACCTTATAGAGAAATAAAAGAACCTGTGTCCAAGGAGGGCCATAAGGAAATGGGACAGATCCCCTCCACAACAGGTTCCGTAAATCATGGGAACCCATTTTTTAAAATATTTTGCCTGCTATTCATAATCAAAAATTATTATACTTAAAAGTATATTTAAAGAGTGTTAGAGGAATCTATGAGCAAAATTGTATCATGTTTAAAGTTTCCTTTAATTTGGGCAGATCTAAACGTTTGGGTGCGTATCCGGCACCCCCAAATGCCTGTGCACAAAGGTGCTGGCCACCTGGGTGGAGGGCTGTTGAAGTCCACAATTAGCACGTCAATGCAAGTGGGCGATCACAGGGGAGAGGGCGAAACTCGGTCACAAAAGGGGAATGAATAATTCGGGAACAGCGGTTGTACAACAAAAGAGGAGTTGAGAACACCCGTCGCGCCCGGGCGACATTGGCCATCCGCAAAGTCTGCAACATGTTAATTCGATGTAGACCAGACAGAAAAGGCGCCAACGTACTGGTGGTTCAATGTTTAAAAACAGGTAACCAATCACTACCGAGGGGCCGGACCGGGGGTGCGGTATGCAAATATCGGGGGCAGTGTTTTCCTTGTATGTTACAA